TATCTGCATCAAAAAAAAATTCTAAAATGAGGGGGAAAAAGCTTTCTTATAAGCAGTGATCCTGAGCCTCTCATATTACCTAAAATCTCTTTTCTCATATTATTCCAAGGATCATTAAGCACATGTGAATTTTGTGAAATACAAGCCGCTTACATAGTGTACAAAGCCAAATGCTTTTTGTTTCTCCTTTTTTTAAATTGAATTTATTGGGGTGACATTGTTTAATAAAATTATATAGGTTTCAGGTGTACAATTTTACAACACATCTCTGTATATAGTATTGTGTGTTCACCACCTCAAGTCAAGTCTCCAAGTCTCCTTCCATCACCATTTGTCCCCCATTTACCCTCTTCTACCTCCCCCCCCACACACCTCGTTTTCCTCTGTTAATCACTATACAGTTGTCTGTGTCTATGAGTTTGGAGTTTGGGGTTGTTGTGTTTTTCTGCTTGATCCCTTCACCTTTGTCACCCAGAACCCCAAACCCCCTCTCCTTAACAGCTGTCAGTCTGTCCTCTGTATCTATGAGTACGTTCCTATTTTGTTTGTTAGTATATTTTGTTCATTTGATTCCACACGAGTGAAACCATATGGTACTTGTCTTCCTCTGACTGGCTTATTTCACTCAGCGTAATGCTCTCCTGGTCCATCCATGCTGTCACAAAAGGTAAGATTTCCTTCTTTTTTATGGCTGAGTAGTATTCCATTATGTAAATAAGACTCCTGCCAATAGCAGTTCAGTAGTAGCTAATGTACATAATACTGTCTGTCAATTTTTGTCCAAATAGTTAACAATCCTGCCCTGAAACCAAAGTTACCTTCAGAAATATATAAATACAAGTTCCTAAGTCCTTCCTTCCTTCCTTTTTTCCTCCCTCCCTCCCTCCCTCTCCTTTTCTTTTCTCTTTTTCCTCTCTCTCTCTCTCTCTCAACAACGAGGCTGAAAGAATCATTATAAATCCACAGGTAACAATATAGAACTTCAGGAAACCTATTCATTCTCAGTTAAGCCTTCATTCTATAGTCATGAGAATTTCTTGGTTGACATCCCAGAGGGTGCCTGGCTAGTGTGAGCAGTCCTTGCCCAGCATCAACTTCACAAGACAGCATTAGCTTTCCACCACTCCCCCACGGAGCAATGATCCTTGAAATACATCATGAAGGAAAATCCTTCACATTGGCAGTGAATGTACATCACATTTCCATTACAAACATCCCATCCTCAACTCCTATTGTAAAGCAAACTGTATAACTTTGTATAATTCAAAACACATAATAAGAAACTGTTCATTTCTCAGTAATTTGCTAATTATCTTGAGCTACTTTGTGAACCTTACATCATTAATGTTACTTGAAGATACTCATTTATACTCTGACTATGAAAGGTTGCTATGGATTAACTGGAATAAGGCTAAGATTTAAGTGGATTTTCTAGAGAAAGTTGTTAGGGAAATTCCCTCTTTCAAATTGTTCTCTGAAATGTGTCAGAAGGGGTGTGGTGTAGTGGGGGGGGGAAAAACAACAGCTCTGTTGCTCACTAGCTGTTATTCTGGGAAAGTAATTCCATCTTCCTGAGCAACGGCTTCTTTCTCTGTTCCTTGAAGATAAAAATATCCACCTCTTGCCCCAGCCAGTGTGATTCAGTTGGTTAGGTGTTGTCCTGTGCACCAGAAGGTTGCCAGTTCAATTCCTGGTCAGGGCACAGGCCCAGGTTGTGGGCTCGATCCCTGGAGGGGAGTGTGCAAGAGGCAGCCAATCAGTGTTTTGCTCTCTCATCGATGTTTCTCTCTCTCTCCCCCTCTCCCTTCCTCTCCCTCTAAAATCAATATGAATATTTTTTTTAAATATCCACCTCACAGTGTGATTGCGAGGACCAAATGAGATTCTGCATGTGAGTGCCAGATGACGCACATAAAAGTCTGGGAGTGCACTCTGCAATGGGGAAGAAACATTAAATACAATAACAATAACACTGTAAGTGCTACAATAGGACTATGTGAGAACAGAGGAGGCAGTGCAACTCTCACTGAAGAGAGTAAGGCTCAGGAGGAGGCTGAGTCTGGCAGACTTTGAGAGGGACACAGGACAGAGGTGGAGAGATGAGCCGGACTTCTCCCAGGGGAAGAGCAGGCAGGGGAGCTGCAGGGGGCACAACCTGAACAAAAGCACACAGGCAGGGGGAGTCTGGCCCTCTAGGGAGGTGTGGGGCTGGAGCAGTGACTGTGGGGTGATCTGGGAGATGAGGGCAGAGAGAAAGGAAAGCACCAGAAGGAAGAGCCTGTGAGCCAACGAGAAAGTCTAGCCTTGACCCCACATGTGATGGGAAGCCACTGGATAGAAGTGTCAAAACAAAAAAACAAAAACAGTAAAAACCACACTTCTGGTTTATAATTTTCTCCTCTCAACCCGGCAGTTTCTACTCTAAGTGTGTGCTCCTGGACAAGAAATCCTTGGAGACAAATATTTTGACTGTAAATATATATTTAAAAAATTACAATGTGTTTATTGAGCTCCTACTCTGTCAGGCACTGCCCTAAGGCCTTCGCATGCATTATTGTTCATCTTCAAAACACAGTTGCATTATCAACCATATTTCAAGTATGAGGAAACTGACATTCAAAACAGATAAAATCTCTTGTCCAAGTTCAAACAACTAGCAAGTGGCAGAGCCAGCATTAGAAATTAGATTTATCTGACTATTTGCTGATGCATTTTCTTCCTGAAATGTTTTTAGGTTCATGACTTACTACTCTCATGCCACTAAAACTTCAGAGAAAAACAAGAACATTGATTTTTTTTTTTCTGTTAAATGAAAATCTGATTCCAACTACTTACAAATATTATATGACATTATAAAAAATGTACTTACTGAGAATTTGAAAAATTCTTACCTGGAGTACCACCTCTCAACATATTATGTTTCACAGTCTATACAAATTACATAATTATTTTTTAAAGTCTGACACATATAGGTATAGTCTACTACAATAGCTATTGACCCCAAAGTCAAGAATCTAATCATTCAAACACATTTTTAATTAAAAAGAAAATATCAGAAAGTCATTTTGAGATCTCACCATAAATGTCTCAAATAAATGTAGCCATGGCTGGTGGTGTTCAGTGGTTAGTGTCGGCCCGTGTACCAAAGAGTTGAGGATTTGATTCCCGGTCACGGGCACATACCTGGGTTGCAGGGTCGATTCCACAGCCCCACTTGGGGCACGTGCGGGAGGCAATCAATCAATTTGTCTCTCTCATATCAATGTTTCTCTCCCTTCCCCCCTTCCTCTCTCTAAAAATCAATAGAAAAAATATCCTCGGGGGAGGATTAACAACAAAAAAATGAAATGTAATGTACAACATGGTAACTATAGTTAACAATATTGTATTGCATATCTGAAAGTTAAGAGTAGATCTTAAAAGTTCTCGTCACAAGAAAAAAATTCTGTAAATATGTATGGTGAGGTATATTAACTAGACTTACTGTGGTGGTCATTTCACAACATATACAGATATCAAATCATTATGTTGTACACCTGGAACTAATACAATGTTTTATGTCCATTATACCTCAATTAAAAATTAATAAATAGCCCAGCCAGGCGGGCTCGATCCCCAGTTGGGGGTGTGCAGGAGGCAGTTGATCAATGACTCTTTCATCATTGATGTTTCTATCTCTCTCTCCTTCTCCTTTCCTCTCTCTGAAATCAATATATATATTTTTTAATTAATAAATAAAATTTAAAATAAAAATAAAAAATGACTCAAAATCTATGGCTTCTAAGTAACATTCCAAGGATGCTGCATAATATTGGACATAATCTTAAAATTACTTTAAAGTACATAGCTACATAAATATTTGCAAAAACTTGCCATAGCCTTATTTCTTCTACACTAGCTAACTACTCAGCTGCAAGGTTTGCTTTATCATCAAAGGTGGAAAGTCTAGTGGCTAATGAATTTTCAAAGTACAAAACAAATATTGCCAAACTCCACAAGAAGCACTTACGATTCACATGACTGAAACATCATCATTCACTGATATTACCACTATTCCTTTCTAATGGTGCAAAATAGAATGTACATTTAAAAGAGGCTATACGCACAGGGGAGGGGGGTTGGGGGATTGGGTGAAAAAGTGAAGGGACTGAGAGGTACAGATGGGTAGTTACAAAATAGTCATGGGGATATAAACTACAGCACAGGAAATATAGTCAACAATATTGTAATAACTATGTATGGTGCCAGGTGGGTACTAGAAATATCAGGGGGGAAGGCTTTGTAAAGTATATGGTTGGTTAACCACTATGCTATACACCTGAAAACTAATACAATAAAATGTAAACTGTAATTGAAAAAAAATTTTTGTAATAATAAATAATTTAAATAAGTAAATAAATAAAAGAGGTTATGTGCAAAGACACAAACCAGGTGTAAACAATGCCAAGCAAACTGTGGTAACTATTTAATTTTTACTGCAAAGAA